GGCTATGTTGGAGAAAAAAAGGAGGTCATATTGACTTTCAAGCTAAATAGAATTGCACAAACTGTTTTTGCCTTAAATGCTGTACTTCCATGTACTCGTTTCGATAAATCTATGCACATGAGCAGAATATAAAAAATGAGGGATGGCTCAAGACCTTTGGACAGTACTATAAGCTCCCTAGTTAAAAATAAGGTTAGCATTTATAAATATGGACAAACATGACGTTTGACTAAAATACTGAGCGTTGGTTATTTCTTAGATATTAAATTGATATATTGTTTCAAACTTGAACCTTCATTTTATGCTTGGATTAATGAAAATCTGGACTATTACAGCACACAGAGTAGTAACCTGATCTCACACATGCTGCATTCTTCTTTGAAAAACAATATGATGCTATCAGCAGCAGGAGTGATAATCCACCTCAAGTCGCATTTGCTGAAATAGAGGCCTCAAAGACATTTTGAATGCGTAACATGATATATTGTCCAAGAGGGAAAGACTTGAATTAAGAATCAGATTAAAGTTATGGCAAGCTTTATGAATAATGCAGCCAGCATTTATTTCCCAGGAAGTCAACTGTAAAACATAGTCTTCTTGCCAAGTCTCTCTGCTCTCTGTACTCTCTACATTTCATCCACATCAGTAATGATGGATGGCAATTTAAAGTAAACTAATTAAACCCGAAAAGGAAAATGAATTGTGACGATATTTCATCCCATCAACATCATAATTGTGCAAGTGTCAGACTATTTCTAGCCATCAAAAAATTAAAAGCATAAATCAAAGGTTATAGAGGCAAAAAAGGAGATTGGGTTTGAAAGTTATTGTTTTAACAAGATGACAAAATCATTAGAATCAAATTTATGACCCTGGGGCAAAGACTTCTATGATTCTAGTATTGACTTGTCAGTGTAATATCCCTGTCACTTTTTCCTCATTCATTCAGTCTGCACAGAGGAAATACTCTCATTTCATACTCTCACACTGAGCAGAAAGGGCTGATCAGAAGACAAAAACCTCCACTTTGGGAAATCTCACAGCAGAATCCAACAAATATCACTATGGATAACTATATGTGTGCAATATGTGAACAGAAGTTTTTTTTTTTTAAATTTGATTTCTACAACCCAAATTGGCTGTGATGGTTAAATCCTGCAACCGGGAAAATAACAAAATAATCACTAGAGTTTATGGAGTTAACAGTACTTTTAAACCTCACTGTCACTAATGGAAAAACAACACTTTTAATAGATGTCACTGAAAAATCTGCACTTTGTGACGACAGAATATGCATTTTTTTTTCTTTAGTGAAACCGTTTGACACTTGACAAACTAATTTGTTTTGCTGTGACAAGTTTAGTGCATCCGTTTGTTTCACAGCAATTAAAGCCGCCCACTGGTCATGCTACTTCAAGTGTTTTGTTAGTTAGAGCACACTGTTCATACATCTGGGTTGCATTTTTTTCCACAGCCCTGTGTGAAATTAGCTGTCATTTCAAAAGAGAAATAATCTTAATATCTACATGTGCGATCACTTACTGTAACACATTAGACATGGTGTGAAACACTGTGTGAACACTTGCTGTTTTCATAGCTCTTCATAGCATCTGGCTGTCTAAAGACAGCATTGAAAACAATCTGAGTTTCACAGAGGAATAACATTTGGCTTCCAACATTTGAAAATGCAGATACGTGCATAGATAGAAACCTGATCCCTTAAACATATAGCCAGTCAAACATGTGATCCCTGATGCAAGTACTCACCTTCTAACATTGCCTTTTTCTCTGTTTTATCTCCCTTTAAGTTGACATTTTCTACTAGCATCACATCTTCCCGTAATCCTCCTCTGGATAGGCTGTAGCCCCTCATCTCTTAGCCCTGAAGGTCAACATGTGAGAGGCATAAGCAAAAGAAAATGACCTGCATCAAACACAATGCAGTGACTCCTATCTGAGGTGGGGGATACCCCTGTAGAAAGATAGGCAGATAGGTCATCTTTAGAAGCTACATGCTCTTTGTAACAAAGCAAGTTTACCTGATTGTTAACAGGATGTTCTTTTCTAGTATTTATCCAGAGAGAAGAAGAAATCAATCTTAAGCTAAAAAAAAATTTCTTAAATAGAAGAAGTGTGAGAAATTCATATTTCTTTGAGGAACTGACTCTTTAAGTACGTAAAAAAAACACAATTTGATGGGTATGATCAAACACAGATAAGATCTTTCAGCCCTTTTGGAAACATTTTGTGCTGTTAGGATTGATCTTCTGCAAAACAACCTACTGAAAGATATTTTTTCCACTTTATTTTTGATTTCTCGTTCTGTTTTTATATATTCCTAAATATATTCTTAAAACATGTCAAAGCTGTCATAAGTCATAACTTCTGACCTTGAATTCTTCTCCAACTTTCTAAATAACACTGTGACATTCCACAGTGTGACTGAGACTCTGAAATGTATTCTGCTTATCAGTTATTTCTGGCACAAGCAGCCCCCCCAAACTCCCTCTCAATAAATATGGGGTTGACTAAGTTGATATGCCTTGGAGGCATTTTAAATATTCCCCCCAAAAAATATCTATTCATAAAGCGGGGCGACGTAATTGGGTGATTTATGACCTTTTCACACCACTGAAGCGATTAACTGAAGACATCATTCAGAGCTGTCAGTCAAACGGATTGTTCACATGGAAACGAAACACCATGCAGCCAATAAGTGAGCCAGCTGACTTGAGAATGATGCCTTCAAAAGCCTTTCATTGAAGTGGCCTCTTCAAGACTGTCACTCGAGCTGTTATTGTGTTAAGCTAAAACTTGTATCAGAAAGCTACACTGGTGAAAAGAAAAATGAGATCAAAGGTGCAGGTAGATCGGTGTGCCTTCTTGCATTCATGTGGCTATCTCAAGGGTGGCATGGTTTCTATTGAAGACCGTCTCTTCCCACTGCTCGCCACTCATTCACTGCTGGTCACAGATGTTGAGGATGTTCACAGCTTAATAGTACATGTGGGATGCATCTTCACATAAAGCAATCATTTTCCCAAATTTAATGATCAGGCTCAGTGATTTGCCTTTATTGGTCTTCCTAGAGACACACACCTGCATCTCTAGAGCCTTCTTTGGTAATAACAGCAGGAAGAACAACTTGACACTAATTGGCTCATCATGTCAAGTGTGTTCATGCATAACGTATTTTTTTTCTACTGATGCTTTAAAAAAAAAGTACCAAATTTGTGAGAAGATTATCTTCCACAGAACTGCATCCGATCTTTTGTAGCAATGCATTTTATGCTACGGTGCTTTTAAATACTGACAACAAACTGGCAGCACAACTTTTCATCCTGTTATTATTATTTTTTTATCTAGTTCTCTGCTGATGTTTAACCTATATTTATAGTCTATAAAGTCAGATTTCACCGAACTTCATAACATTGCTGAAATCCAACTGGCATATGAGAGGGCCTTTCCCCTCGTTTGGTCCTCAGGGCTTGCCGACTCTCAGTCTAATTAACAGAGATAATGGAAGGTGAAGCTAAATAGCGCTGATGGGGTCCAGCAGAAGGTTATTAGGTGTCCTCATTAGTGCCCGACTGCAGTGAAAGGAGGTTTAAGGTCTTATTCTGATCCTGATGGATGGTGTTCCTCTTTGCCTGTCTTTACAGAGTGTGATTTTACTGCACAGACAGCTAGGCAGGGGCACAGATAGGGAGAAACCTAAAGAGAAGTGTGTGTGCGCACGCTGATGACATTCAATTTGGCACATAATGAGACATGATTTTGCCCGAGTGTCAGAGGAGTATGTTCATTTTCTCTATTAGTTACAGTAGGAATGTTTACTGCAATAAACAACCCTAATACAGTACTTCTTAATACACCATGGTCACGTACGTTTAAATTAAGTTTCCACACCTTTGTAAAATGAGTTACAAAAAAAAAAAGAAAAACAGTAGCACAGTCAGCAAAGCAATGGATTTGTGTTTTATTGTAGTACTCATAGTAGCTCAGACATGTGTATATACAAATACAGATCATTTTTTGTCCATTTTTAATTTTTGTTTATATAATGTAAAAGAGCAGGTTGGAAACTTTCCCCACTGATGGCAAAGTGGGAGCTGAGTTCAGAGGTGAAGGAAGAAAGATAGCAGGTGGTGCGGTGCGGTGGGGGGTGGGGTTATACAAGTACAAGAAGAATGAGACATAAAATGAAGAAGTGGCTCATCAGCAAGAGGCGAGCTGAGAACCCACGGAACCTGGATCGATGATGGGCTTTACCCCACTAACAATCCGGTTTTGGATTGGTAGAAGGGGGTGCGCTAATCCTTGAACTGTGCCCGGGACCAATGTCTACCGTAGTGACAAGTGATTTAGGGTTGTTAAAAAGGGAGAGAAAGTGAAGGGCCCCGTCGTAGTCTCTTCGACGCCAGCAGCTGTTCCGTGTAAAAGCACAATGGCAGAAAGCGTCTTGTACACAGACCGGGCTGCCAGGGCAGAGGCTGAAGGGCTAAGGCATGGGAAACACTCTTTGCTGCCAAAGAGGGTTGCCGCTTCCCATTCACTGCAGCAACAGCAAATGAGACATGCACACACCAAACTTACAGGTCACACACATTTTTTTTTCCTTTTCTTTTTTCTTTTCTTTTTTTTTTTTTACTGAAAAACATCCACACGATGTATACACTCCCAAACACCTCCTCTTGGGAGAGCAGAAAGTGAATGACTAGTCAGAGAAGACAGAGTGCAGCTACATGGGATGACTTCAGTAGATGGATACAGAGAGTCATTCTTATTAAAAAAAAAACTTAAAGTTGCTTTTGAACTACAAAATGACTGACCCCACTGTAACCTCACAAAAATGATATTTGTTATGTACATTTGCGTAACTACACAGTTTAATGACAGCACTCAAATGGGGATGCAAAAAAACCAAAAAAGAAATCGCACAACATGAACATGAAAATCTAATACATCATAAAGGAAAAGAAAATAACAGCAGAAGAAAACTTTTTTTTTTTCCAAATGATTTTTTTTTTAAACATGTCATCAAGTTCATGCGCATGCCACATAATGAAACTGGTGAGATCCTTCTTTTTAAAAAGCCAACAGTCCAGTTATGGCTGATTTTTGAGCTGACCAACATGCTTTCAAACACTGAAGGCAAAAGAAAAGTACAAATAGGCCACCCATTAAGTCCCAAATGTTTCTTATCAAGGCAGGATCCTGACATGAAGACGTGGTGGTTGGTGACTGGTTTGAAACATGTAAGAGATGAGCCTCCTGTTGGCTAAAGTCCAGCCTGCTGTTCACCGATACGTGTTCAGCGCCCACAGGTTTCCACTGTGTATTAGCTCAAAGTGTCATTAGGCATTGAGTATCAAAACACACAATGCATCGTTTGAAGACAGTACACACTCCGCAAAACCCCGAGATAATATGGTATTTGTTTGTTTGTTTGTTTGTTTTTTAGAAAAGACATAAGAACCAAATTAATACTTTAATATCAAACACTATTTACATCAAGAAGTTTTCCTAATAATAATAGTCATAATCATCATCATCATAACAATAATAATTATACAGATTTAACAATGATGTATCTCATTTTTTTCTTTTGTCCTCCAGAAAGGTACAAAACGGATACTAACCTAACACTACATGTTTTATGGTTGACTACCTCAGGATACACAGTATCCAGTATATAAGTTGATCCTCATTTCCCAGGTTAAGGTGTGTACAGAATAAATCATGACAATGATAGCAATAATGACAAATACCATTGGTAATTAAGTAATTAATAAGAGTACAATTGAAGCTGGTTTCCGATAAAAGTCTATTGTTAATCTGCTCGCAAGCATCCATTTCGAATCATATGCAGTGCTCATTCCCTGTGGTGTTATCCTGAAAATTAGTACCTCATTAAATGGCATGTCTCCTGTCACCCCTCACAGCCGAGCTGCTATTCCACTGTAATAGCATTGTTACCAAAATCCCCCCAAAAAACTAATGGCAAAAGGCAAAGGCAGTCTTTCTAGTAATAAAGACAGAAAAAGGCAGCCACAAAGCAAAACCATTACCATGTGCCTTTGAGACTGAATGTTACTGAACGTACGTTTGTCAGAGAAGGTGTTTGTTCCAGTAGTGTTGAATGGATTCTTTTATTTTTTGTCACTTTGTTTGGATTTTTATTTTTTACTTTTTAGGCACTCTAGTCACACTACCTTCAGCTACTTCTCATGTCTTTCCATCTGTGTGTGTGTGTGTGTTTCTCTCACTTTAATTCTTTCTGTCTCCTTCACTCACCAATTCTCTCAAACTGCAAGGTCATTGGTGCTTTAAAACCCCCCACGGCGGAAATCTACCTCCCCCCGAGACCCCCCAGGCCTTCCAGCATCTATTTTTAATACCAGAAATAACTCCCCTTGCCACAACATGGGGTCCACATGCCTGTCATTTTGAACCTCATTAAAGAGTCACTTAAGCCAGTAACACAAGAAGCTGAAGGTGGACATGCAATTGCTCCTTTGCTCCTTTTCTTGCTATTTTTCTACATTTCTGAATCCATATTTCAAGACCAATTGGTGCCCTGTTTCTCGTGCAAGAACCCGGCTCTGAAGGGAAGTCAGTTGCCGCACGTTTTCTGTGTGTTCAGACTTCTTTTAAAACTAAGAAATAAGTCAATCTGAAAAGAAAAAGGAAAAAAAAAAACATAAAAGCTTTTTATGCTAACTCACCATGTGCATCAGCGGGAGTTGAAGGAAGCTGAATATCATTATGTCACAGCGAATTCCTTTAAATTTAAGTGCTAACACAAACCTGGCCAGACTAAATAAAGCAGTGCATTGCCTAGAATTTAATGGATTTTGTTGTTGTTATTCACACGGCAAACACAAGCTATGCATTAGCTAATGCAACGAGCTGGCTCTAAAAAAAAATCTCACTTTTACGTAAATCTACTGTATGAGTCAAGGCTGTGGTTACACTTATGGGACAGGGATCCAAGGAAAAGTATGGCACTAATAATGGAAATGTCTTTTCAAACAGTTTCCCACGATTTCTTTCATATTTCTTATTTAGCTTGATGTCACACAGTACAAAAGTCCTACAGTTTTAGAACCTGTATTATTATAGAGATGTAAAAAATAAAGCTGCAAATCATTTTCAAACAATTCTTTTAACAGTCAATAGAGAGGTGGGGGGGCTGTGGATGCAAATGTTTATGGGAGTGTTAATATTGACTAATTCTCAGACTGAATAGAGAGAACAAATTGCTGCCTAGCTCAGTAAACATTGTATAAAATGACTGTGACCGCTGCTGTGAAATTGCACGATCAACTTTGAGAAGGTATTGATTTTTGATCCTGATATCCGCCGAAACAAAAAAAAAATGTCTGGTGAGAAAGTTTCAATTTAGTTGCTTTGTTAGCCAGAGCAATGCTTTGTTGAGCAGACTTTCATGGTTTTTACCTTTATTAACTCAAAGATTCGCTAAACCTTTTAAGTAGCTTATCCAAAATATACAAACACTCTATTTTCAAGGGAAATCTGAGATTGAATGACAAATAATCTTCAGACCGTCTTTGAACCAACATAGTCTGAAGACCTGTTGGGCTAAGGTGCATACCGGGCATTTAATTTTCAGTGCTCAGGTTTATCGTCTTGCTTCTGCTTGAAACTTCACACTTCTTTTCTTACGTCTTTAACTCTTAGCTTTTCTTACTTAATTGAAAAAAACTCTAGACGAACGGAGATGCAAAAATCTTTTTTTTTTTCTCTTAATGACCCAACAGAACAATCAAAATATATTCTGAAAGGCTCCTTGAGAGGTCTCAGGATTATTTGTTTGCGTATGTACAGTCATTTCTAAGACCTAGCATCTTCACTGTCCTACTATGTAAAACTGGCTACTGTATAACAACTCTACTCCTGCTCAATGCTGATGTCAATATTTTTTGTATTTGACTCTGCGGCACAGTAATGTCGTGTGTTATGTAAAGTGTGTGTATATGTGTATGTCTAAACAGCGTTGCATTGACAGAAACATAATGTAAAGGGATGTCAAAAGTCACGGGAAAGTAAGAATCACTATGTGTCAAACAGGATTTGGCATCTTAGTTGAAGGTTTAAGGGGGGGAACTGTTTCTCCCGCTTCTAACATCAACTTTTTTTTTTTTTCACTCACAGACGGAGAAAGACCACTTAAATATTTTTTTTTCTGAAAAAAATAGAGGGTTCCTTGAGAAGCCTGCTTTTATGCCCAAACAAGCAAATGCAATCCACCCAAATCCCACCCCCTACCCTGCAGCCTTGGGCAGGTTCAGGCCACGCTAGGTGTAAATGACCTCCGGGACAGAGGGAGGCGCTATAAAGTGGAGAGTGCTGCTAAGCAGATCAGCATCGAAGCCAGAAGCGGACTTGTTTTCTGGAGGCGTGGCACATCATTTGTTTCACTTCGTGAAGGCTCAGCCGGTTCATGGCTGGTATCGTCTAAAGGATTTAAAGAAAGGAAGAAGAAGAAATAGAAGTGAATTCTATGGTACATGCAGATTTCTCTTAACAGTGCATCATACACACAAAAGCTTATTCAGTGAACATATTCTCAAATACACTCCCAGGCCAGAAAAAAGTCACAATCATCAGGTGGTCCAAGAAAATATCAAGAGTCTGTGACTTTTTTGTGTGTGTCCTGGGCAGTGCATTCACATTTGTAGTGTGAGAATATTTCTTATTTACCAATAATACTTTTCACCAGTTAGTGAAAAGCATAGATGTTTGGGTTTGTGCCATAAAGTCTGAGTTGCCATATGAACTTCAGTTGCTATATAATGTTTCTACTCTCAATGTCAGAAACATTTTTGAATTCATCTCCCAGGTGAGCTGCCCCCTGTGTTTTTCTGGCATTGGCATCAGTATCTGTGAGCAGCCATGTGCCCACCGCACCATGGGAAAGGAGCTGAACCATGCACAGCAAAGGACAGATAGACAGAACAGAGGACTGGACAGTTACATAACTATACAAAGTTGTGTTTGTGTGTCTGTGTGTGTGCGGTAGAAATTGGGCAGAGACAGGGCGACAACAGATGACGAATTAATGTTTTCATGTTTCTCCTTTGGAAGGCATAACAGGGAAATGAGCCAAAAGAAGCTTGCAAGATGAGAGCCAGCCATTGAGGATGCAGGCAGGGTTTTAAGACGGGCAAAGGGGGGAGAAGCAGATGGGTATCAAACATGCCCTAGGATGTAGTATTGCTCTGCCTGGACTTGTGTATTTGTGTCCCATTTAGGTATCATAATATCTTATCTTCACGGTGAAGACATTTCCGAATGCAGCCGATCTCATTTTCAAATGACAGAATCCTTTTTTTGTGATCAATGATCATATCACTGTATATATCTATATATAAATAAAAAATATAGACAGTGGGGTAGTCTTTTTGTTATTTCAGACCTTGCGGTGAGCTGGTGCTGGGAATGAGACAACAGCATGTGGGTGATGTGGAGTGTTTCAGTTCAGAGACTGGGTTAGGCTGATATATGAAGACATAAAACTGCTGTGCGTTCTGAGCACAGAAAATAATCAATGCTGTGCTACAGAGCCAACAGCAAGTCAGTCAAGAGTAAAGAAAAAGATTAAAATTTGCCAAATGTATAGCTACTGTGTGGCTGTGCCTACTGCATTCATATTATTTAATGGTTTTTAAAACTGACGTTCTTAGTTAAAATACAGGCAGAAGAATTTTAGTAAGCATAAAGATTGCATGTTGTGGCATTGACCACAACATGCAGCTGGGAATATTACATGAGCAGCATTTTACATCATGTATGCAGCAGCAGTAACGTGACACCACTTTGATATTCTGGAGAAAAAGCAGCTTAAAAGAAGCATTATACAGACAGATACGCAAGGGCAGATCAGCATCATAAAAGAAAGAGGCACAGAAAAAGGTACACATATACAGATAGCTGGAACTCATACAGAAGTGAATCAAAAAAGCAGGAAGCCATACTAACCTCGTGGTTCTAATGTATTGTCTACTTTGTCGTTTACATCAAAAACGCGGTCATGTACACCTATAGTTTTCACACAGCTGTCTATAACAGAAAATAGGGAGAATGAGAAATCATTAGAGGTATGTGCCAAATAGGTTAGTGACATTTGTAGCCCCCAACACCCCCAAGCCCTCAAAATAAACATCTCAAGCAACAAAGCTCATGGCAACATTCAGATATTCAGATTATTTTATTTGACGTGAATGTCTATCATCATTTTCATGTTTTCAAATTTATTTATTTTTTGGCAAATCAACCAGTGCTGTGATAAGTGAAAGAGCTATGTTCAACAGTGAGCTCAAGGTAGTGAGGTAACCAGACAAGTGGACATAAAGTGCTTTGATTTTCACTCCAACCGGCTACTTCAAGAAGCTCGGTTACAAAGCCCTGTGTTGCACTTACTTGCTGGTCGGACGAAAACTTTGAGCTTCAAGCAGGTTTTTTTCCCATTTTCAGCAACAGTGGAGGCTGGAGAAAATAGACACAGGTAAAAAGATGGTGCTTTTAATACTATATAGCATCAGATATATACAGTAAACAATGAACAAACAATGCAACTGTGTATTTTATCTATTCACACTCACACCCGCAGCCAATTTAGAATCAGCAATTAACCTAACCCCATGCATGTCTTATAATAATGTAATGATTGTGTTATGAATATATTTTTTTTCCCGTAGACAACAACTAGAAGTGAGGTAATTTATTAAGAAAAACACAAACCTTAATAGTTCGTTTTGACTCGTAAGTGGATTTTATGGCATTAGCTGCGGTTCTTGTGGGATTACAGCTGGAAAGTATTTACAGATGTGCTGAAGAAATCACTCTAGGGAAAGTGGAGTGCTTTGCTCACAGTTTAATTGTACCATTTTGAGATTCAAAAACTGGCACTAGCTCAATGTGGGATCAACATAATTCCCATCATTTAACCTGGTTAAAGACTCTCATGCAGATACTTTAAATGTACACATTTCTATGTATTCCTATAGAAACACATCAATCTTCTTTCAGGAGCGCAAAGTTCACACAGCGAGGATGTACAGTATGTGCTACATGTGTGGATGGTTTGCGGTTCCTGTCAGGAAATGGATCCCTTCCTGTCAAGTCCACGGGGTGTGAATCTCTCAGCATTAGCTACCATGGTGGTTGTATCACATCCCCTAAAAATATCTCAAAGGGAGCGTGTGCAAACGTGTGTGTGTGTGTGTGTGGTTGACCACTAATGGCGTTGTGTTGAGGCACCAGGTGCTGTCTCCTGTAGACGAGGATAGGGGTCAAACACATGTCAGCTGAAGTCTAGTGGGTGAGTTCTGCCTGCATCCATCATGGTAAGATAACATGTAGTAGTTTAGCAATAAATTTTATTGTCTGGGGTCAGAGCAGAAAAAAGAAGAGTCGGCTTTTGCCACTATTGCGATACATTCATGCTATTTACTAGTTCTTCTTTCTATTATCCCCTTCAGCTCCAGTGAGACCATATTGTCCACTAAGGTGTCTTTTCGCATTATTTTATGTTTTCTGTGGATCAGTCTGATGCAGTGAAGCCAGGATTCAATTTCAAAATCGCTTTCCTCCTTTTCCCCCTTTCCAGCACTTTCACTGCCTCTTCTGCATATCCTCTTAAATAACTTTTTTTTATTATTCTATAAACCGCCGTATCTGAAGAATATTTTTCATTAAAAAAAAAAACAGTCTCTGTACACATTGCTCCAATGAATGCGCTAGCATCCATTTTTTCTGAAGGTGGTTGAAAAAAAGCCGTGAGCCGTCCCTGAAGCCGGGAAATGTTTTCATTAAGAGAATTATTTCTAATGACTTTCCATCTCATCTGACCCGTTCTTTTCTTGCATTTGCACGCTCTCGTCTCCTGAGTCACCCTAAAATCCCGACGACAGTTTTCTTATCAAAAACACGCCGCATACTCATCCGCCTTCTGTGCAGCTCATCAGGATTTCTCGCTCCCTTTTGATTTTTAACCTCAGCGTTACCAATTTAATGTTGTCACTTCATCAACTGTTACCCGCATCTCCGTCATATATCACTGTACAGGAGAGGTGACCTGAGATCAGACACTATTTTTCACAGCTCAGTTCATATTCAGCAGATGCAGAAGGGAAGAGGGAAGAGAGAGAAAGAGAAAGAGAGGACCTTATTATTTCGGTGTGGAGGCAGCCGATGAACGCTAATGAACCTTGGCCAACGTCGCTCACCCACTCAGTCACATACACACACCAGCGCCCACGCAATTTATGTCACTCTTCTTATTGCTGCACTTCTTTATCCTCTCATTCTCAGTGTGCGCACATATGCGCCCAAACAGCCGCACACCATCTCCAGATGTTTTATCTTCATCACTGTTGTGGGCAGAGTTCAGTCACAGCCATCGACACTAGCCACTTAACAAAGACAGCTGATCATGAGAGAAGTATGGCCCTGATGAAAACAGCAAAGAGCATGTGGGCATCTCTGTCATGCTGTTGGGATGTTCATCGACTTGGCTAGAACATGATATCTGCCTCTTACGCAATAGAAATAATGCATGAGTAATTAATTTTTATGTTATCTTGACTAATATTATGAATATAGAATATGACCATCTAGATTATTTCAAGAGTTGATTAAATGAGTGCACCGATCATGGGTGCACTGCATGTAAATGTACATTTTTGTCTACATCGTAAAGACTGAGCTTTGGCTTTGCATTCTCTTTTCAGTAGCAGCTCGTAATGCTCGCTATTTGATGAGGATTCTGCCACCTGGGCACAAACTGTCCACACCAGTGCCTGCTTATTTTAGATTAACAAGCTGCTGAGGGCCAGCTTATTGTTCTTGTAGGCTGTAACATCAACACCTGCTATTCTGGCTCCCTTCAGGCCCACAATCCAACTATCAATCCATCCAGCCTAAGCAAGTGGCTGCTTTGAAGGACAGAGGCCCTAGATGTCCCAAGATGGGATTGGTGAGAGGGAGGTCGGGTTACCTCCACCGTGCCCTGTCCCCTAGCTGGTAATGGCCGGTTCCCTCAGTACACTGCATTATGCATCAGCATTAAGGCAAATGGAATGAAGCAGAATCCAATTACAGAAGAACAAACAGGTGGGCTCAGTGCAGCTTAGGAGCAGTATTGTTTCAATCACAGCCCAAGCCAAGCTTTATTGTAACTGAAATTTTATCTACAAAACACATTTCCTATGTCTTTCACTGGAAGATTACATTCCAGACATGACGAATAACCAATAAATATCTTGAAAGAAAGCTAAAAGCAAAGATGTCTAAATACAGAAGCTAAAATTGACATAGCATATGGGTTATCCATCATCTAGCAGGTGAAATGGGGGGAGGGGGAACAATGCAGGGTGAGTTTTGTTTGTCATTTTGTAAACATCAAATCTGTGTCATCTGAGCTTTTCTCATAACCACTGAACATTTTAAACATTTGAGTGTTTGCCAGTATCAGCACAACCACAAAGCCTAATGCAGTCGGGCAGTCTTTAACTAATTTCTAATGAAAAAGTTTCCTCTTTTCACCCGTATGTTTAAGTTTGCTGTGTTTGTAGTGGTCAATTCCACACACACACACACACACACACACAAAAATCCACTGAACATACTTAGCCCAGATGTCCACCAAAGCTAATCATACTGTCACAACAAACTGTCAGCATTTTATAGAACAGCGTTACGCAGAAAGGCATTCCTTCGGTTTCAGTTACAAAAGTCAAACCTTGCACAGACTTGTACAGGATCATGTGAACGTGTAACATGAATAGCATGATGTTAGCGTGCCTGTAGCCTGTGTCAAGTCTCCAGCTGGTTTTAATAATGGCGCTCCATTCCTTAGATCACTGCTTATTTGTTAGATGGGAGGGGTTAAACTGGAAAGTCTAATGTTGTGTCCAGCTCCGAGCATTCCTCGTTAGCTAATTCTTCAAGCTCGAAGAAAAACAGCCCGTTGGCTTTGTCTTTCATTTAGTAGGATTACCCATGTGAATTACCCCATGCAAGCTTAGAGTGTATGTCCAAAAGTTCAGGATTCTGAATTTACATAAAATTGTGTACAGGGGAGAAGAAGCGGTGAGAAACGAAAAGCTTCACTTTCTAAAAACTATATGCCAGCATCTATACGTTTCTTTTATACAGCCTCCTTCCCAGGAATCTGCTATTCCGAGACCAGAAATTACTTGTGGCATCTATTAGCTTTCACTGAAAAAAGAACAATGTTGGACTAAATAAACAAAAGAAAACTTTTAATTCAAGAGACTTGCTTTATTTATTTAATTTTTTAGAGAGAGAATGCTTGCATGACCCCTCTAATAAGAAATATGAACTGTTTCATTGTTCAGAATAATCTCTTCGTTGCAAACAACAGCGCACACTTGACTGTGTGAAACACATGTTCAATAAAGTGTCCATATGCACTGACATACACATAATGGCTAAATGTTCCTCAGAAATTATTCTCCCACATCTTATAAAGCAGCAGACTTAAAAGGACAAAAATGTATCTATTTACAGGCTTTAAAAAAAATGTGAATGCGTATGTGTGTTTGCCTTTATACACAGAATCTGTATGTGTGTGTAAGAAGATGGAAGAGACTATCGACTGAAGAGGCCCATTAACCAGATGCTACTACAGCGAACACACAATGGGAGGGAATGAGGGAGCTGAGGAGCAGTAAAAGAGGAGGGTTTGGATTCATGCATCAGAGGGAACATAAACTTCTCCCCCTGGTGATAGCTGGCCTTTTGCTCCTTCCTTGTATATTTCAATCGTTGGCAAAAGTGCACCAAAGTCATTCCTTTTGCCACTTGTGCAATTGGGACAAGGTCACAAGCCATGAGGAAAACACTGAGAGAAATATAAGTTGAGAAGGGGAAGTTAGATGCAATCAATAACGCCTAATTATACAGTGCAACACTTTCCTCACACTACTGAATGTCAGAGCACTTGTGTAAGGATACAATTATTTCCTTGTCAAAGTGCATCCAGCATCATAATTTTGTGGAAGACCACATAATGACGCTCTTACAAATTACTCTTGTCGTCTTGAAAATGAAAAGCGAGTGATTGAAAGTCTGAAAACCCTTCAATTTCATCAACCGATTCATGTCTTTGCACTCAAATTACAATAAAATGGATGATTTATTAATCTATGGTGGAGTTCGGCGTTTTAAGGCAGTTACAGAATAATAAGTCTGTGCATAATAATGGTTCATTACTACACTTAGTGTCTCACGTAGGATCATAATATTATTGTTATGGCCCAAGTACCCACCCACTGAATAAACGAGCAAAATTGTGAGGCTCTGTGTGTGTGTGCGCAAGTGTACAGTACAGTAATGTGCGCACTGTAACAACGGAAGAATAAAGGAGAAAAATATACAAGAATTAACCAATTAAACACAGTCGCTTGCAGATCAACACTGTACTGTGCTACACAATGGTTATAGATGTTTAGGTTTTTATG